ACTTGCAAACAAACCAAAACAAAACAAAACACAGGACTTGCAATTATAAATCAATATAAAAAGATTGCTCAATTAAAAATGGAGCAAAATACATAAATAGGCAATTCACAGAATACAAAACATGAATAAATGCATAAAAGATCATTAATCTGCCGGGCGCGGTGGCTCAAGCCTGTAATCCCAGCACTTTGGGAGGCCGAGGCGGGTGGATCACGAGGTCGAGAGATCGAGACCATCCTGGTCAACATGGTGAAACCCCGTCATCTACTAAAAAAATACAAAAAATTAGCTGGGCATGGTGGCACGTGCCTGTAATCCCAGCTACTCAGGAGGCTGAGGCTGGAGAATTGCCTGAACCCAGGAGGCGGAGGTTGCGGTGAGCCGAGATCGCGCCATTGCACTCCAGCCTGGGTAACGAGAGCGAAACTCCGTCTCAAAAAAAAAAAAAAAAAAGATCATTAATCTAAAAAAATCATTACTCTCATGACCAATAGGATATTTTTACCTATCAGATTAAAATTGCTTTAAAAAATGACTAATACCGAGTATTAGAGAAAGAAGTAAAGGAACAGAGAAACAGGCACTCATGTACACTTCCAGGAGTCGTGTAAATTGTTTCACCCCTTTTGGAGGACTGTTTAGCAATAACCATGAACAAACTTAAATGTAGATGTTCTATGATCCCACAAGTGTACTTGTAGGAATTCATTTTGTACGTATGTCAAACAATAAATATCCAATGATGGAAAAGAAAATGGAAACAAGTTAAATGTCCATTAATAGGGATTGGTTAAACAAATTAAAGAAGCCCTAGCATGAAATATTACGCAGCTGTGAAAAATGAAAATACCTGTGTGTGTGTGTGTGTGTGTGTGTGTGTGTATTTGTGTAATATGTACTCTCTCTCTATATATATATGTATATATATTGCATTATTGTGGGAAAGTATCCACATTCTATCAAATGAGTAACTTCTTAAAATTACGTTTGCATGTGATGCCATACATACCGTTCATATGTGAATATATATATATATATATATATACACACACACACACACTCATATATATAATCAGTTTCATAAAAACAGAAAGGGAGATTCATATTTACAGAAAAACTGTAAGATATTTGGAATGAAGATTTTTTTGAGATGGACTTCAGTTTTGTTGTCCAGGCTGGGGTGCAATGGTGCCATCTTGACTCACTGCAACTTCTGCCTCCTGGGTTGAAGTGATTCTCCTGCCTCAGCCTCCCAAGTAGCTGAGATTATGGGCATGCCCCACCACACCAGGCTCATTATTATTATTATTATTGTATGAGGAGTCTCGTTCTGTGGCCCAGGCTGGAGTGCAGTGGCATGATCTCAGCTCACTGCAACCTCTGCCTCCAGGGTCCTGGTTCAAGCAATTCTGCCTCAGCATCCCAAGTAGCTGGGATTACAGGTGCATGCCACCATGCCCAGCTAATTTTTGTATTTTTAGTAGAGACAGGGTTTCACCATGTTGGCCCGGCTGGTCTTGAATTCCTAACCTCGTGATCCACCCACCTTGGCCTCCCAAAGTGCTGGGATTACAGGCATGAGCCTCAGCGCTTGGCCCAGGCTAATTATTTTTATTTTTAGTAGAGACGAGTTTCACCATGTTGGCCAGGCTGGTCTTGAACTCCTGACCTCAAGTGATCCACCCGCTTTGGCCTCCTAAAGTGCTAGGATTACAGGCATGAGCCACCACACCCAGCCTGGAACAAAGATTTACAGGGTACTAAAGATTTCTTCTTCTTTTTTTTTTTTTTTGAGACGGAGTTTCGCTCTTGTTACCCAGGCTGGAGTGCAATGGCGCGATCTCGGCTCACCGCAACCTCCGCCTCCCGGGTTCAGGCAATTCTCCTGCCTTAGCCTCCTGAGTAGCTGGGATTACAGGCACGCGCCACCATGCCCAGCTAATTTTTTTGTATTTTTAGTAGAGACGGGGTTTCACCATGTTGACCAGGATGGTCTCGATCTCTCGACCTCGTGATCCACCCGCCTCGGCCTCCCAAAGTGCTGGGATTACAGGCTTGAGCCACCGCGCCCGGCTTGATTTCTTCATTTTTGTATCATCTGAATTATTCACAAATAATGTTACTTCACTCATGAAAGAAGGCACAAAAGATAAGAGAAATACCCTAGGCAAAGACTTTAAAATATGATAATAGTACAGATGAGGGCTAGAAAGACACAGCTCCATATATTGACAGAAGTTCCAGCTGATACAGAACTTCTGGCAACCCATTGGTAATATGCTCGAGGTCACATAAATCTCTCCCTGTGACCCCATGACCTTACTGCCACGATTTCGCCTGGGAAATGGTAAGGCGCTCACCCCTTTCATCAAAGTGATATTCCATACTATATATAAAAGCCAAAAGCTAGAAACAACCAAAACGTCCAACAAGGGACTGGATAATATGTCGGCCGAGTAAACCGCATGAAGCTGCAAAACATCAGGTTGTTAAAAGTTACTTAATGAAATTAATTCAACCATTGTGGAAGACAGTGTGGCGATTCCTCAAGGACCTAAAAATAGAAATCCCATTTGACCCAGCAATCCCATTACTGGGTATATATCCAAAGGATTATAAATCATTCTACTACAAGGACACGTGCACACGAATGTTCATTGCAGCACTGTTTACAATAGCAAAGACCTGGAACCAACCCAAATGCCCAACGATGATAGACTGGATAGGGAAAATGTGGTACATATACACCATGGAATATTACGCAGCCATCAAAAACGATGAGTTCACTGTCCTTTGTAGGGACATGGATGAACCTGGAAACCATCATTCTCAGCAAACTGACACAAGAGCAGAAAATCAAACACCGTATATTCTCACTCATAGGTGGGTGTTGAACAATGAGAACACATGGACACAGGGAGGGGAGCACTACACACTGGGGTCCGTTGGGGGGAAATGGGAGAGGGGCGGGGGGGTGGGGAGGTGGGAAGAGAGAGCATGGGGAGAAATGACAGATACAGGTGAGGGGACCGAAGGCAGCAAACCACACTGCCAAGTGTGTACCTATGCAACAATCTTGCATGTTCATCACATGTACCCCAAAACCTAAAATGCAATTTAAAAAAAAAAGTTACTTAATCATATGTTAAATAGTTAACACCCATTGCTATAAAAACGTAGCGCATCCATGGTCCTCACGCCCAGCTACGGCAGGTAGGTTACGTTCAGCCCTTTGGAGAGCAATATAGCCGTACGCATGAGGAATCAGGAAAGTGGCTGAAGCCTTGATTCCCATCATTGCCATTCCGGGAATTTTACTTTGAGGAATGATCACCTCAAAGGGAGAGAGGAAGTGAGCATGGAAATTTCATTATAACATTATTTGCTCTAAATGTATTAGGTGAGAATATCAAAAATTTTAGAAAAAAAAAAAAAACATTATTTGTAATTGGGATAATTGGTGAACAACCGGTGTGAGTCAGAAGCTTAAAGAGGACTCTAAATGCGGAGTGGATTTATAAATTACGCCTTCTCAAGAGCATTTCCTTATCCTTAATAATGATAAAAGTATACGGGACGGTGACAATGCTCATGGCATAATGATGGCAAAACCGTGCCTACATTGTGATTACAATAAAATAAACTTATATTTGTTTAAAAGATTTGGAAGGAAATATAAAAAATAAAAGCAATATGACTTCTAAGGATGGCTAAATTGTCAGTGATGGCTTTTATTTTTTCGACCCCAAATTTCTGACAACTAACCCTGTGGATATGGGATATAGATTTAAAAAAAATAAATAAAGAGGCCAGGCTCGGTGGCTGATGCCTGTAATCCCAGCACTTTGGCAGGCTGAAGCAAGTGGATCACGAGGTTAGAAGTTCAAGACCAGCCTGCCTAAGATGGTGAAACCCTGTCTCTACTAAAACTACAAAACTTAGCTGGGTGCAGTGGCAGGTGCCTGTAATCCAAGCTACTCAGGAGGCTGAGGCAGGAGAATCACTTGAACCAGGGCAGCAGAGGTTGCAGTGAGCCGAGATAGCATCACTGCACTACAGGCTGGGTGACAGAGCAAGACTCCATCTCAAAAACAAAAAACAAAAAACCCCAACAAAGAAACACACCCAAGAATGACTGGCGAGTCTCTCTGGACTGCACGATTACAGGGAATTTGTCTTTTATTTCATACTTCTTTATACTTTCCAAATTATCCTTTATGAAGAGCATATGATATTTCACTAAAATTTTTCCTGTCATAAAAGAAATAATTATTAATACAAAATTATATAGTATTTTAAAAATATGATTTAAAAAATCTCCCCTTGGGCATGAACAAACAATGATGCTTAAGAACATGACACTTAACAGGCAAATAGTTACGTAGGCCAGGTGTGGTGGTCACACCTGTAATCTCAACACTTTGGGAGGCCAAGGCAGGAGGATCATGAGGCCAGGAGTTTGAGGCCAGCCTGGCCAGCATGGTGAAACCCCAGCTCTACTAAAAATATAAAAATTAGCTGGGCATGGTGGCAGGTGCCTGTAATCCCAGCTTCTTGGGAGGCTAATGCAGGAGAACTGCTTGAACCCAAGAGGTGGAGATTGCAGTGAGCTGAGATCACATCACTGCACTCTGGCCTGGGTAACAGAGCAAGACTCTGTCTCAAAAACAAAAAGAAAAAACAGAAAGTAAAAAATAAGATGCATTCCGGCCTGGATAACAGAGCAAGACTATGTCAAAATAAAAAAGAAAGAAAGAAAGAATAGAAAAGAAGAAAAGAAAATAATAGCTTTGTAAAGCATAGATCCTGGAAACATAATAAACAGAAACAATAGGACATTAAGAACGCCTATAAATATGTCAAACATATTTATATTTAGAGTCATATTTATATGAAACATATTTATTGTTGAAGCCAATTGCAGATTGTGATATTTGTAACATAAAGTTTTAAAGGAAACTAAAAATGTTAAAGAGTTAATCTTTACAGCTGTCTTCCCCACTAAATATTCAGGCTCCAATTTAAGGAAAGATCAATCAGTTTTAAAAGCTTGGAGAGGGCTGTTCTTAGCAAAGGTACCAGATGAAATAGTATCCATTTTGGACCAACCCCTAACTATACCACAATCTAGGGACATGGTAAAGTGAAGGAAATATGAAAGGGAAACCCCCAAAATGATCAGAACCTGTCCCAGTTAGTGAAAAACTGTGCCACCTTCCCTCTAGGGAAGAAAGGAACAAATTATCTCAACATATGGCGCTAGCATCCTTCTCTGGAGAGTCCCTAGTGTTGATGAAGAGCAGATGGCTTAAAGGCTATTTATGCCCCTGGATCCATCTGTTCCTGAAGGCAAAATTTTTCCTGAGGTTCCTAGTGTTGATGATGTTAGGACCTTCTGCAGGACAGACAGCTCATTACACACTCAGGTTGTCTAATCAGCATGCATTCTCTGATGATCAGCAAGCTCTGTTCCCCAAGCAAGGGCTTTCTCAAAATCATCACAAATATAGGCATCCTGCCCAGTGTGAAGCCTCCGGTGTTGAGTCAGGTGTGAACTCCAGCTGAAACCCTCTCCACACTCCTCACATGCATAGTGTTTGCTGCCAGAGTGGACCTTCTGATGTTGGAGAAGGTGTGAGATCTGGGTATAGGTTTTCCCACAGTCATGACACTTGTAGGGCTTCTCTCCAGTGTGAATCCTTTGGTGTTGGATTAAGTGAATGCTTTGGTTGAAGGCCTTCCCACATTCCTTGCAGGTGTAGGGCTTCTCACCGGTGTGAATTCTCTGATGTTGAGTGAGGGATGAGCTGTGACTGAAGGTTTTCCCACACTCCTGACACTTATAGGGCTTCTCGCCAGTATGGATCTTCTGGTGCTCAATGAGATGTGTGCTCCGGCTGAAGGTTTTTCCACACTCACTGCACTCATAGGGCCTCTCTCCGGTGTGAACCCTCTGGTGTTGAATGAGGTGGGAGATCTGGGTATAAGCTTTCCCACACATTTTACATTCATAGGGTTTCTCCCCTGTGTGAATCCTCTGGTGGCGTGTGAGGGAGGAGTTCTGGCTGAAGGTTTTTCCACACTCGGTACATTTGTAAGGCTTCTCGCCAGTATGGATGGTCTGGTGCTGGGTGAAGGATGAGGTGTGGCTGAAAGCCTTCCCACATTCATTACATATGTAGGGCTTTTCCCCCACATGAGTGCTCTGGTGCCTCATGAGGTGGGAAATCTGTGTGTAAGCCTTCCCACACTTGTGACACTCATAGGGCTTCTCACCAGTGTGAATTCTCTGATGCTGGGTCAGGGACGAGCTGTGGCTGAAGGCTTTGCCGCACTCAGTGCACTCATAGGGTTTCTCTCCAGTGTGGACTCGCTGGTGCTGAGTCAGGGATGAGCTGTGGCTGAAGGTTTTCCCACACTCATTGCATTTGTAGGGTTTCTCCCCAGTGTGGATGGTCTGGTGTTGGGTCAGGGAGGAGGTGTGACAGAAGGCCTTGCCGCACTCTGCACATTTGTAGGGCTTCTCCCCCGTGTGGATTTTCTGGTGGCGGGTTAGGTGGGAGACCTGCGAGTAGAACTTCCCGCACTGGCCGCATTTGTAGGGCTTCTCCCCAGTGTGGCACCGCTGGTGTTTGATGAGAGACGAGCTCTGCGTGAAGGCCTTCCCACAGTCCTTGCACTTGTAGGGCTTCTCTCCAGTGTGAATCCTCTGATGCTCGGTGAGCGAAGAGCTCTGAGTGAAGGTCTTGCCGCACTCATGGCAGGCATAGGGCTTCTCACCTGTGTGGACGATGTGGTGCTGAATGAAATACGAGCTGTTGCTGAATGCCTTCCCACAGTCATGGCACTTGTAGGGCTTCTCTCCAGTGTGAATTCGCTGATGCACAATATAGTCGGAATGGTAAATGAAGGCTTTCCCGCATTCCGTGCAGTTAAATGGTTTCTTCTCCACGAAGGTCCTTTGGCGTTTCAAGTTCCTCCAGGGCCTGCTCCACTTCTGGGGCCTGTCTCCATGGGGCACTCGTTGCTTCCTGATGAGGGCAGGGGCCTGCCGAAGGCTTCTCCCAAGCTCGTCACACCCAAGGCCTCTCTCCCCTGAGGTGTCTCCACTGGCAGTAGCAAATAAACACCTCAAATGCATCTCCTGCTTTCTTGGGTCCTCCAATGAACAGTGACATGCCATGGGTTTCCCCAGCTTGGCATCTCCAAGCACAACCCTTAAAGTTCCCTCAGGTGGGAAAGCTGAATCTCCAGAAATGCTCTTTTTTGGAGGTATCTTTCCAAAAGTCACAGAGCTTGCCTCCAAGTCTGAAAGAAATGGAAAATACCAACACCATCTTTCCAAGGACAAAGTAAGCTGATTACTTGGAAGTGGCAGTGTAAACCTAAAAAAAAAAAAAGTTTCAAACTTGACGCTGCTATTTTGAAAGGCATGGTGTATGTAGATAGATTCATGTTCTGACATGGAAGGACAGTCTCAATACACTCTAAAACTGAAGAGAACCAAGCTGCAAACAGTTTACGTACACAGAGGTTGAGTAGCCATCCATCTATCTATCTATCTATCTATCTATCTATGGAGAGAGAGAGAGAGAGTGAGAGAGAGTCTTGCTCTGCTGCCCAGGCTAGAGTGCATTGGCGCAATCTTGGCTCACTGCCACCTCCACCTCCTGGATTCAAGAGATTCTCAGGTACACGCCACCAAGTCCAGCTAATTTTTGTATTTTTAGTAGAGACAGGGTTTCACCATATTGGTCAGGCTGGTCTTGAACTCCTGACCTCGTGATCCACCTGCCTTGGTCTCCCAAAGTACTGAAATTACAGGCGTGAACCACCACGCCCAGCCAAGATAGTAGATATATATATATTTTTTGAGATGAAGTCTAGCTCTGTCACGAGGCTGGAGTGCAGTGGCGCGATCTTGGCTCACTACAATCTCTGCCTCGTGGGATCAAATGATTCCCCTTGCCTCAGCCTCCTGGGTAGCTGGGACTATAGGCACACACTACCACACCTGAATAATTTTTTGTATTTTAGTAGAGATGGGGTCTCACCATGTTGGCCAGGATGGGCTTTATCTCCTGACCTCGTGATCCACCTGCCTCAGCCTCCCAAAGTGCGGGGTTTACAGGTGTGAGCCATTGCGCCTGTATATAATAAATTTTTTTTACAAATCAATATGAAAAATGATAGAAAAAAAAATCTAAGAAAATAGGGAGGCAAGAATATGAGTAAATAATTCACGGAAGAAAAATAAGAGGCTAATAAGTACATGTATAGATGCTGAACATCAGCAATAGTTAAAAACATCAAATCATGGCCGGGTGTGGTGGCTCACACCTGTAATCCCAGCACTTTGGGAGGCTGAGGCGGGTGGATTGCCTGAGGTCAGGAGTTTGAGACGAGCCTGGCCAACATGGTGAAACCCTGTCTCTACTAAAAAAAATACAGACATTGGCCGGGCGCGGTGGCTCAAGCCTGTAATCCCAGCACTTTGGGAGGCCGAGGCGGGTGGATCACGAGGTCGAGAGATCGAGACCATCCTGGTCAACATGGTGAAACCCCGTCTCTACTAAAAATACAAAAAATTAGCTGGGCATGGTGGCACATGCCTGTAATCCCAGCTACTCAGGAGGCTGAGGCGGGAGAATTGCTTGAACCCAGGAGGCGGAGGTTGCGGTGAGCCGAGATCGCGCCATTGCACTCCAGCCTGGGTAACAAGAGCGGAACTCCGTCTCAAAAAAAAAAAAAAAAAAAAAATACAGACAATTAGCCGGACCTGGTGGCTGGCACTTGTAATCTCAGCTCCTCTGGAGGCTGAGGCAGGAGAATTGCTTGAGTCCAGCAATAGGAGGGTGCAGTGAGTCGAGATCGCACCATTGCACTCCAGCCTGGGGAACAAGAGTGAAACTTCTTCTAAAAAAAAAAAAAATCAAATCATTAGGGTGCTGTTTTATCCATTTTAGATTGGAAAATATTAAAGAAATCCCGTGTTGTCACGGGAGCATGGCACAGACCCTCTCACACGGTGTTCATGGGAATGTGCAAGAAAAGAGTTAACAGAAGGTCCATCTCACTCTGGTTTTGTTGTCTCTGTAGACATGGCAATGACCCTTGGCCAGTCTCTGAGAACTAAACTCCTGGGGTATTCACACAGGTGCTGGGGAAGATGTTCTATATGCTCAAGACCGTGAGTCAAGATGTACTAGGTTGTCAGCACTGTTGACTGTAAATATGAAGATTCATGATGGGCACCTGGTACCTGGATTGGGGTCCTTACTGCGGCTGGTCATGTAGCAGGTAGGTGCATACGGGATCAGCTCTCTTCAAGAACTCTGACTGTAAGACTCAAAGTGGGCTTTCCTGGGTGAAGACACCTCACACATGTGTCTGTGGTTTTGCACTGGCAGAAAAAATCATACGCGCGTGACCCTCACAGGGAAAGGGAGGGCTGGAAGCCTGTGTCTGACCTCTCTTGCCTTTGTTAGTTCCTACTGTTCCTGTGTGACACACTTTGCTGTGAGCTGTCAATACAACTTGCAAAGTCATGTGACTCCTTCCAGAAAATTGCCAAACCGGTGGGTGGTTTTGGGACTCCCAAAACAGAGACACGACAACGAAATGCTGTGTAGGATTCTTGAAATTATTCTTTTGTCATTGGATCAGGCAATGGTATCTTATCTTAGATATGATGTCAGAATCACAAAGCAACACACGCAAAATAGATAAACTGGACACTGTCAAAAGTAAGACCTAGACCGGGCACGCTGGCTCACACCTGCAATCCCAGCACTTTGGGAGGCCAAGGTGGGTGGATCACTTGAACTCAGGAGTTCGAGAACAGCTTGGCAACATGGCTAAACTCCAAATCTACCAAAAATATACAAATTAGGCAGTGATGGCACATGCCTGTGGTCCCAGCTACTTGGGAGGCTGAGGTGGGAGGATGACCGAAGCCCTGGAGGTTGAGGCTGCAGTGAGCCATGATCGCACCACTGCACTCCGGCCTGCGTGACAGAGTGAGACCCTGTCTCAAAAACAATACTAATTAAAAAAATTAAAACCCACTGTGCTTCAAAGATACTAACGAAAAGACAACAGAATGGGAGAAAATTTTTTCACATCTTAAGTCTGCTAAAGAACTTGTTTCTAGAATATAAAAAGCATACTTACAACTCAATATTTTTACAAACTCAATTAAAAAAGGGCAAAGATCTCAATTGTCATTTCTTTAAAGATATACAAATGGCCGATAAGTACAAGAAAAGATACTCAATGTCATTAACCAACAAGGAAATTAAAATGAAAAAGATGAGATTCCACTTCACACTCACGAGTTATATAATGAAAAAAAAAACAAAAAACAAAAAACAGATAATAATAAGCATTAGTGAGGATGTAGAGAAATCAGAGCCCTCACACACTGCTGGTGGGAATGTAACATGCTACAGCCACTTTTGAAAAGAGTCTGGCAGTTCCTTGGAAGGTCAAACATAGAATTACCCTATGACTCAACAATTCCACTCCTAGGTATCTACCCGAAAGAAATGAAAACATGCATTCATACAAAACCTTGTGCATGAATGTTCATAGCAGTATGATTCATAATAGCCAAAAAGAAATAACTGTTTACCAACTGATGAATAAACCAATTGTGGCACATTCATACAATAAAATATTATTCAGCCATTAACACGAATGAAGCTCTCATACATACTGCAATGTGAATGACTGTTAAAAATATTATGCTAGGCTGGGCACGGTGGCTCACATCTGTATTCCCAGAACTTTGGGAGGCTGAGGTGGGCAGATCAGGAAGTCAGGAGTTCGAGACCAGCCTGGCCAACATGGTGAAATTCCACCGTTACTAAAAATACAAAACTTAGCCAGGTGGGGTGACGGGCGCCTGTAATCTCGGCTACTCAGGAGGCTGAGGCAGGAGAATTGCTTGAATCCAGGAGGCGGAGGTTGCAGTGAGCTGAGATGATACCACTGCACTACAGACTGGGTGACAGAGCAAGACTCTGTCTTGGAAAAAAAAAAATTATGGTAATTTTATTCCTTCTTGTGATTTAGATTTAGTACTATGCTACACTATTATAGTGTTGTACTATACTACTATAGCAGCATAATATTTTTAAAGAACTAATATTTTTTAAAATTTATTTTATTGCATTTTAGGTTTTGGGGTACATTGTAAGATAGTTGCATAGGTACACATGTGGCAGTGTGATTTGCTGCCTTCCTCCCCATCACCTATATCTGGCATTTCTCCCCATGCTATCTCTCCCCAACTCCCCACCCCCCCACTGTCCCTCCCCATAAAGATAGTGAAGACATTGAGTTGAAAATACTTGGAGGGCCAAGTGCAGTGGCCCATCCCTCTAATTTCAACACTTTGGGAGACCAAGGTAGGAGGACCACTTGATCCCAGAAGTTTGAGGCCAGCCTGGGCAACATAGGGGGACCCCAACTCCACAAAAAAAAATTTTTAATTGTTTTAAATTAAAACTTGAAAAATTAGTGGGTGTGGTGGTGCACGCCTGTAGTCCCAGCTACTTGGAAGGCTGAGGCGGGAGGACTGCTTGAGCTCAATACATCAAGGCTGCAATGAGATGTGATCACACCACTGCACTCCAGCCTGGGTGGCAGAGTGAGACCCCGTATCAAAAAATATACATGCAGAAGAAGAAGGAAAGAAAATACTTGAAAGAACGCCATTAAAATGTCGGTTAATTTTTGGGAGACAGGATTATGGGGAAGTTTCGTTTCCTGCTTTATTCTTATTTAGATTTTCTAAGTTTCTATGATGAACCCATAGCTTTTATTTGATCTGAAAAACATCAATATATATTAATTAGATATAAAGCTTTTGCAGCATCAGCTTGTAATCTGTAGAAAGGAAGCTGTAGTGAAGAAGTGATGAACATGGCTGCGCATGGTGGCTCATGCCTGTAATCCCAGCACTTTGGGAGGCTGAGGCAGGTGGATCACCAAGGTCAGAAGTTTGAGCCCAGTCTGGCCAACTGGGTGAAACCCTGTCTCTACTAATAATACAGAAAGTAGCCAGGTATGGTGGTGCAGGAGAATTGCTTGAATTTAGGAGGCACAGGTTGCAGTGAGCTGAGGTCGTGCCACTGTACTCCAGCCTAGGTGACAGAGTGAGACTCCGTATCAAAAAAAACATTAAAAATAAAAATAAATGAATAAAAAGACATGAGGAGAAAGCAAAACCGTTTGGAATGTGGAAGGAATGGATTTTTTTTTAGCCAGTAGGTTTGTTGATGGAATGTCCATTAATTACATATGTGCCAAGCACAGTGCTGTGAGTGGGTGACCTTGTGCTAAACAAGACATCTGGTTCTTGTCCTCAGAGAGAAGGGAGGGGCGGCTTGTATTCCAACGTTTTGGATATATCCTACATATATCTTTAGCATCCCTGTCTTTGAACAACCACTGCTTCCCTTTTCCTATAATCCTGGTGTGGCTGTCACATACATATCTCCACAACTCCTACCTCAGTACTGGGCATCACACTCAGGCTAGCCAATCATAGTACCCCATTCCCCAGGCCATAAAAATTGGTTCATTGGCCAGGTGTGGCGGCTCACGCCTGTAATCCCAACACTTTGAGAGACCGAGGTGGGTGGATCACAAGGTCGGGGGTTCAAGACCAGCCTGGCCAAGATGGTGAAACCCCTACTAAGAAAATATAAAAATTAGCCGGGTGCAGTGGCTCAAGCCTGTAATCCCAGCACTTTGGGAAGCCAAGGCGGGTGGATCACGAGGTCAAGAGATCGAGACCATCCTGGTCAACATGGTGAAACCCTGTCTCTACTAAAAATACAAAAAATTAGCTGGGCATGGTGGTGCGTGCCTGTAATCCCAGCTACTTGGGAGGCTGAAGCAGGAGAATTGCCTGAACCCAGGAGGTGGAGGTTGCGGTGAGCCGAGATCGCACCATTGCACTCCAGCCTGGGTAACAAGAGCGAAACTCCATCTCAAAATAAATAAATAAATAAATAAATAAAAATAGATAAATAATAATTGGTTCATCTTCCCAAGGGACCCAATTGGAGTCTTCCCTGAGATTAATATACGGAATTACTAGGCAGAATAGAAGTTTGGGACTGTGGGTAGCCATGTTGACTGCTACTTGGAAAGGCCTGTAGACAGAACAAAGCTAGAAACAGGATGAACACATGTGGAAAAGGAAGGAAGGAAGGAAGGAGGGAAGGAGGAAGGCAGGGAAGGAGGGAGGGAAGGAAGGAAGGAGAGAAGGAGGGAGGGATAGAAGGAAGGAGGGAAGGAAAGAGAGAGAAAGAAAAAACAAGTAAGCCCTAAAAATACCATTTAAGGCCTTAGATGCATCTGTGCCCAAAGCCTTGCACTGAAATACTTCCTAGGTATATGGGTCAAAAAAATCTAATTTTTCTTAAGCTATTTTGATTCTTTATATGCAAGAGTCCTGATAGAGTGGATAATAACAATTATTATCATTGCAATAGGAAACATTCATTAAACACTTACTACATGCCAGACACTGTTCTGAGCTTGCTCTGTGTATTAAGTAATTTAATCATCCAAAAATTTCAGTGCGGTGGGTACTATTATTCTCCCTATTTAATAGGTAAGGAAATGGAGGCACCAATAGGTTAAGTCACTTGCGTACAGTCACGCGGCCTGTCAGCGGCAGAAAGGGGACTGGAACTCAGAGTCCACACTCTTAAGCACAACACGCACAAGCGCAGTTATACACCACCTCGAGCAAGGAGGCCGGCCACTCGGAGGTGACCTGTAAGCTTCATCTTGAAGGACATGAAGGTGTTTGCCAGGCAGAAAAAGCAGGGAAGGGTGTTCCGGAGAGAGGGAACAGCACATGTGAGGGTCCAAAGGTGGGAACACACGTTCAGGTTCAGGTCTGGACAGGCGCTTCAGCGAGATCAGGGCGTGGCGTACAACCCGGGGTGGATGGCGAAGACGAGGCCAGAGCAAGCCCGGGCTGGATTACACACTGACTGCCAGGCTGAGGGGCTGGGACTTTATCTTAGGGGAGCTGGGAAGCCCAGGGGAGGGTGTGAGCAGGGGAGGTGTGAGCAGGGGAAGGAGGGGGTCAGCTCTCAGTATGGAAGGATCGCCTGGGGCTGTGTGTTGACTGAGGGGTAAGCCTGGGGGCCAGGAGGCTGAGGTGAGGGTCCAGAGGAGAGAAGCTGAGGCCTGGCCAGGGGCAGGAGGGACAAGGCTGGGGACTGATGGGCTGTGGTGGGACAAGGGGAGGATGGGGTGAGAATTATAACAATGAGAGCCATCGAAGTCACGACCAACTCTGTGGCAAGCTCTGGGCTCTGCTCTGTATCTGTTAATTCATTTATTCCTCCCAACCCTGGATACTCGTGTCACCCCCTTTCCACAAATGAAAAAATCAAAGCACAGAGAGGCTGCATGACTTGCCAAGGCCACACAGCCAGGAAGCAATCAGCTGGGATTTGAACCCCCGACACCTGACTCCAGAGCCCACAATGATCACCCATGTGTTCCACTGTCTGATCCCTGAGCAAACCTCACTGACCATGAGAGATGGGATAGGAAGAGGGCTCACACTGCTGGCCATCCTCACCTACCTGGACAGGTAACTCGCTGGGCCTCTCTCTCCTCTGACCTCGGCTCTTGCCCTCGCTCCAGACGGGAGATCACGTCGGGTTTGGACCCAGAAAGCCCTGCCCCTGGGGAAAGAGATAAGAGTTGGCAGTGGGTGCCAGAATCACAGGGAGGTCTGGAGGGAAGGCGCATGCGTTGAGCGCCTAATGATTAGAAGCACGAATGGCCAATGCCAGACTTATTTGTTGCGTGCTTTGCACACTGCAGAGAGGCTGAGCTCTGACAAGACTGTTGAAGGCTCCGGGTCTGTGCTGTTCCAGTTAAGTGCCCTGAGAAAGTGTAAAAAACACTGTCTTCTGGGTTTCGAAGACTTACTAAAAACAGTAAAATAGCGCCGGGCGTGGTGGCTCAAGCCTGTAATCCCAGCACTTTGGGAGGCCGAGGAGGGTGAATCACGAGGTCGAGAGATCGAGACCATCCTGGTCAACATGGTGAAACCCCGTCTCTACTAAAAGTGCAAAAAATTAGCTGGGCATGGTGGCACGTGCCTGTAATCCCAGCTACTCAGGAGGCTGAGGCAGGAGAATTGCCTGAGCCCAGGAGGCGGAGGTTGCGGTGAGCCGAGATCGCGCCATTGCACTCCAGCCTGGGTAACAAGGGCGAAACTCCGTCTCAAAAAAAAAAAAATACAAAACATTAGCTGGGCATGGTGGCGCATGCCTGTAATCCCAGCTACTCCGGAGGCTGAGACAGGAGAATTGCCTGAGCCCAGGAGGCGGAGGTTGCGGTGAGCCGAGATCGCGCCATTGCACTCCAGCCTGGGTAACAAGGGCGAAACTCCGTCTCAAAAAAAAAAAAAAAAACAGTAAAATAACTCAACAATTTGTTAATCGGTTATTATTTCAGTATGTCAAGATGATATGATTTTAGATAGCCTGCATTATTAAAATTAATTTCATTTGTTTCTTATTTTAACGTAACCAACAAAAAATGTAAAATTACCTGAGTGGGTTGCATCTTATTTCTGATGGATAATTCTGTTTTAGATTCATTGAAGCCCAAAGCTTCCATCTCAAGACTCCTAAATACGTAAGTTAAAACATTTGCTATTTTTTTTTTTTTTTGAGACAGGGTCTCACTCTGTTGCCCAGACTGGAGTGCTATGGCACAATTATGGCTTACCGCAGCCTTGACCTCCTGGGCTCAAGTGATCCTCCCAGGTCAGCCTCCTGAACAGGTGGGACTAAAGGCATGCACCACCATGCCTGGCTAATTTTCAACTTTTTTGTAGAGATGGGGTCTCGCTATGTTGCCCAGGCTGATCTGGGGGGGGCATCAGAGAGGGTGCCAGGGGCATCAGAGAGGGCACCAGAGGAGCATCAAAGAGGGTACCAGGTGCATCAGAGAGGGCACCGGGAGGCATTAGAGAGAGCAACAGGAGCATCAAAGAGGGTACCAGGGGGCATCAGGCCTCCCCCTGGGGAGGGCTGGGGGAGGGGCCTCACCTAGGGAGAGAAGGTTCCGGTAGTTCTCCAGCATCACATCTCGGTACAGCTCCCTCTGGCCAGGCTCCAGCCAGCCCCACTCCTCCAGGGTGAAGTCTACGGCCACATCCTTGAAGGTCACTGATTCCTGCAAGGGCCAATTTCGCTCGATGGAGGTCCTTCTGGAACTCGGGGGCACAGGTGTCAGGAGTCAAGAGCCTACAAATGCCCCCAGGGATGGAACATTCTGACTGTGCAGAATTGGGATGCCTGAATCAAACTGGCCTACATAGACACCTGGGTATAAAGTAGAACCAGGAACCCTTTCACGTGACTCTTTACTGCCATCTGTTGGGCAGTCATTGTAATATACTAATTAATTTAGCATATGACGTACCCATCACCTGAAAATTGCTACAGTGAATACAGCAACGAAGGAGGTGCAACGTGTGAATCCTGCCTGGGATGAGGCACCCTTGTGCAGTGCACAGCCTGTACAACTGTAAGTGACAGCCCTAAGAAATACTTAAAGAAAAAACTCAAGCCATTGTGTGCTGGAGATATTCCTAAATCCCATTCAATCCCAGACCCCATCCTGACCCTGACCCCCATTCCTGACTCCAGGGATAAGGCTCAGGGGTGAAGCAAAACCATCCACTGCCCACTTTGCCTGGTAACCAAAAGGCTGCAGTGTTAGGTGGAAAAAAAATTTTTTTTTGAGACCAAGTTTCGCTCTTGTTGCCCAGGCTGGAGTGCAATGGCATGATCTCGGCTCACCGCAGGCTCTGCCTCCCAGGTTCAAGTGATTCTCCTGCCTCAGCCTCCCTCAGCTTCTCAAGTAATCCTGGGATTACAGGCATGCGCCACCACGCCTGGCTAACTTTGTATTTTTAGTAGAGACGGGGTTTCTCCACGTTGGTCAGGCTGGTCTGAAACTCCTGACCTCAGGTGATCTGCCCGCCTCGACCTCCCAAAGTGCTGGGATTACAGGCATGAACCACTGCACCAGGCCGAGGTAAAATTTTTAGACTGCATGATGAGGTCCCAGCTCAGAGCATTCTGCCTCTGCCCCCTGCCCCTCTGCACTGCCCACCTCCCTCTCCTCATACCCCCTTTCCCAGTATTGGGAGAGTCAGGAGACCTTCAGATCATGCACAGGGATGAAGAGGGCCCGCAGGAGTCCACAAAGTCATCGTGGGGAAGAGGAGGCCCAGACTCACCTGGCCGGTGGCCATCAGGGTCCTGTTGGCCATTGCTGGGTCCTGGGTATGCACCTCCGGGAAAAAGGTCCAGGCCAGGGCCTGAAGAGCTGGAGTAGGAGATCATAGAATAAAAGGGGTCAGTTGTGGTCCAGACAGACAGACGCTTTCCCCAAAGACTCCTGTCACAGAAGGGTCCATGGTCCCCTAAGTGTCACAGCAAAGGCTCAGCCTAGGCCACCTGAGGCCCCCTTTTCATACCAGTGACAACAGCCAGCAACCATGAGGCTGTCTCACCTCCCCCACACCACAGCTCTTGGACACAGGAACATAGTTATCCCTACATGAGGACACTGAGGCACAAGAAGTCAAGACCTGCTCAAGTTCGTGGAAATACAAAGTATCAGAGAAGTCTAGCCACAGAGCCACCCCTTATCCTTTTTCTTATAATTTTTTTTTTTTTTTTAAGACAGAGTCTCGCTCTGTTGCTCAGGCTGGAGTGCAGTGGCACAATCTCGGTTCACTGCAACTTCCGACTCCCGGGTTCAAGAGAATCTCCTGCTTCAGCTTCCCAAATAGCTGGGACTAGAGGCATCCACCACCATGCCTGGCTAATGTTTACATTTTTAGTAGAGGCGGGGTTTGGGGTTTCAACCGTGTTGGCCAGGCTGGTCTCAAACTCCTGACCTCGGGTGATCTGCCTGCCTTGGCCTCTGAAAGTGCTGGGATTTTAGGCCTGAGCCACTGCGCCTGGCCAGGAGTTCTTATTTATTTATTTATTTATTTATTATTTTTTTAATAGTACAGACAGCGTCTCTCTGTTGCCCAGGCTGGTCTCGTACTCCTGGGCTCAAGCAGTCCTCCCACCTCTGCCTCCCAAAGTGCTGGGATTACAGGCATGAGCCATCACACCCAGCCTTGGCAACGATTCTTAAGACTTTATTCCATAAACTGGGACTTCTTGCCTGGTAGACTAGACAGTCTGTCTAACAGCGCCCAAAGATAGCACTGGAACCTACAGATCTTACCTTATATGGAAAAGAGACTTAAGGGGATTAAGTTAAAGATCTTTAGATAGGGAGATTATCCTGGATTATCGTCCTGGGACCTAAATGCCTTCACAAGTGTCCTCATAAGAGGGGGCAGACTGGCCATGGTGGTGCGTGCCTGTAATCCCAGCTACTCAGGAGGCTGAGGCAGGAGAATCACTTGAACTCAGGAGGTGGAGGTTGCGGTGAGCCGAGATAGTGCCACTGCACTCCAGCCTGGTCAACAAAAGCGAAACTGTCTCAAAAAATAAATAAATAAAATAAAAAGAGGGGGCAGAGGAGAATCTGGCGCAGGGCAGAAGAAGCAGAGAGTAGAGAGGACACTATGCTGCTGGCTTTAACGACAGAGGAAAGAGCTACAAGCCAAGGAACGCAGGCCACTGGAAACTGGCCAGGAGGCAGCGAAACGGATGCTGCCTGTGAGCGTCTGGAGGGAGCATGGCCGTGCTGGCCCCTTGATCCCTTCCCAGAGAATCCCACTTCCAACTTCTGGCCTCCAGAATTGTAACAGAATAAAATCATGTCATTGTAAGTGTGTGTCAATTTGCTGCAGCAGCCATGGAAAACTAATACAGCCCACAAAATAAAAAGATTCAGCGCCTCACACATTTATTTCCCAGGCAAGGAGCCAGACACATCCCCAGCTACCCAGAACACACACACCTGAATGCTGAAACCACTGCACGAGATTTTGATGAGAAAATCAGCATGGGAGTCTTAACTTTCTCCCCATGAATCACTTGTTAATCACAAAAAGAACAGGGTAGCTTTTTAATTTATTTAATTTATTTATTTGGAGACAGAGTTTCGCTATTTATTTATTTAGAGATGGTGTTTCGCTCTTGTGGCCCAGGCTGGAGTGCAGTAGCTGCATTTATTTATTTATTTATTTGGAGACGGAGTTTCACCCTTGTTGCCCAGGCTTGTCCAGTGGCCCAATCTCAGCTCACCGCAACCTCCGCCTCCTGGGTTCACACAATTCTCCAACCTTAGTGTCTTGAGTAGCTGGGATTGCAGGCATCTACCACCACACCTGTCTTAATTTTTTGTGTTTTTAGTAGAAACGAGGTTTCACCATGTTGGCCAGACTGGTCTCAAACTCCTGACCTCAGGTGATCCACCCACCTTGGCCTCCCAAAGTGCTGGGATTACAGGCGTGAACCACCATACCCGGCCTTATTTTGTTTTTGAGACAGTCTCGCTCTGTCGCCCAGGCTGGAGTATAGTGAGGCGATCTTGACTCACTGAAACCTCCACCTCCAGGGATATTGATTCTTGTGCCTCAGCCTCCTGAGTAGCTGGGATTACAGGCACCCACCACCATGCCCAGCTAATTTTTGTATTTTTGGTACAGACAGGGTTTTGCCATGTTGGTCAGGCTGGTCTTGAACTCCTGACCTTAGGTGATCTGTCTGCCTCGGCCTCCCAAAGTACTGGGATTACAAGTGTAAGCCACTGTGCCCGGACCAGGGTAACTTTAGAGAGGAGAAACTTGGCAGATGCCGCCTTACCCATGTGAATGAAGCTGATGTGGTATGTGGTGGTACGAGCTGAGCCCAGGGTTTCCAATGGGGTGAGGAGACAGCATCATCCCTGGGACATCCCTGCCAAAAGCGCATGACCTAAATCTAACTATAAAGAAGCACCAGACAAACCCAGACTGAGGGACCTTCTGCAAGTAGATGGTTGTAATCTTCGCAACTTCCAAGAGAAGACTGAAAAACGGCTCCACATTGAAAGAGACCCAACAACATGTGCAGTGTGTGATCTAGGATTTCCTTTTGCCATTAAGGACATTATTGCAGTCAGGCACCGTGATCACACCTGTAATCTCAGCTCTTTGAAAGGCTGAGGTGGGAGGATCACTTGAGCCCAGGAGTTTGAGACAAGCTTGGGCAACCTAGTGAGATCCTGTTCTACGAAAGAATTTAAAAAAATCAGCCGAGCATAGTGGCATATGCTTGTAATCCCAGCTACTCAGAAGACTGCAGTGGGAGGATGGCTTGAGCCCAGGAGGTGGAGGCTGCAGTGAGCTATGATTGTGCCACTGCACTCCAGCCTGGGTGACAAGAGCAAGATCCTGTCTACAGACACACACACACACGACATTACTGGAAGAATCATAAAAAATTTGAACAAAGTCTACAGATTAGCTATTAGTATTAATTTCCTTATTGTGATCGTGGTGCTGTGGTTATGTAAGAAAATGAACTTGGCCGGGCGCGGTGGCTCACACCTGTAATCCCAGCACTTTGGGAGGCCGAGGCGGGTGGATCACGAGGTCAAGAGATCGAGACCATCTTGGTCAACATGGTGAAACCCCGTCTCTACTAAAAATACAAAAAATTAGCTGGGCATGGTGGCGTGTGCCTGTAATCCCAGCTACTCAGGAGGCTGAGGCAGGAGAATTGCCTGAACCCAGGAGGCGGAGGTTGCGGTGAGCCGAGATCGCGCCATTGCACTCTAGCCTGGGTAACAAGAGCGAAACTCCATCTCAAAAAAAAAAAAAAAGAAAAGAAAAGAAAAAAGAAAATGAACTTGTTTTTGGAAAACACAGAGATTCGCTAGGAGGGCTGGGGAGTGGAAGGAGGGCGCAGAGACCGAGTGAGGGGTACAGAGACCCAGAGAGAGGGGGATAGGACCTGGGGCGGCGGAGGTGAGGGGAAGATTAAAGAGAGAGATGGGAGACCCAGAGACAGGAGAACAGGTGCTCAGGCTAAGGGGAGCCGAGACCGAGGATGCGCCCGTGCAGTGCCGCTCTCGGGCTCTGGGGTCAGAATCTGGGTTGCAGCTCTATCAGCCTGAGACAAGTCGCGGAGTCTCCCCGAGTCTGAGCTTCTACACCTGTAGAGTGAGGAAAGGTAGGTTCCCCTTCCTAGGAGACCGCAGCAGTCCCACGCTCCACCAGACTCGTCAAACAGCAAGCGCCCAGTTCCTGCGCGCTGAGCAGTCCCTGCTCCGCCGATGGCTAGGTGGGGCTCAGGGAATGACAAGAGGGGGCGGGGCGTCACCCATAGCGCCCTTCCCCCTCCCACCCAGGTCCGACTCGGGCCCGCCCTCTGAGCTGCTGCTAGCCTGCCTGGCCCGGTCCACACCCACCTGCTCCGGTGGGGTCCGCGAGGTCAGTGCGTCCAGGCGGAATCTGCGGAGCAGCCAGGCCTTCCCTCCCTCCCGCGGGCCCCGGAACGCGCCTGCGCGGTCACTGTCTCGGAAATAGAAGTCCCGGTACCTTAAACTCGGCATCGCGGCCGGACTACATTTCCCAGAAAGCATTGAGGTTCAAGGTCCTCACGGCCTAAAGGCTCTGAGTGCGGGGTAATGGTGGGAAACGGAGTCTGGGAGCAGAATGTGGGGTGGGAGCAAGGCTGTATTTAGATACATACATAGCAGCTTTGCAGCTGGGGTAAAGCTGATATTTGGGACATGCCTGACTGCACTGGCACCGTGAATAACCCTGCTTTAGGCAGCGTTTTCTCCTCCACAGGAGATGATGCCATAGTCCATTTAATCCAAATGTCTCCTACCATGGCTGATGTCTCCAGGACAGATAAAAGTTGGCCCTTTGTAAACTGATGATGAATGAATTGAGTCACTGTTACTCAATTTCCCTGGGCACCTGCCTTCCTGTTTGCCTCAGTTTCACCCATTACTTCTTAAAGGGCAGTTTAGTAAAGGCAATGGAGTCTATTCTGGGAGCTGGGAGATGTATGCTAAGGAGTGCAAGGATGGTTTGATATTAGGACATTACATATTTCATCTATTGATCTTTCTGAATATATCCATATGCAACTATATCTACAGATACTAAAAGGACTTTTGATAACATTATGTAATCCTAGAAGCTGAGAAAGCTTACAAAAAATAATTCAATAACCAGTCATTTCTAGATGAGCTTAATAAATTAAGCATATATTCATATTGAACAACAACAGCAACAATGTTAAAGAATTGCTGACCTCTGGCCGGGCGCGGTGGCTCAAGCCTGTAATCCCAGCACTTTGGGAGGCCGAGGCGGGTGGACCACGAGGTCAAGAGATCGAGACCATCCTGGTCAACATGGTGAAACCCTGTCTCTACTAAAAATACAAATTAGCTGGGCATGGTGGCGCGTTCCTGTAATCCCAGCTACTCAGGAGGCTGAGGCAGGAGAATTGCTCGAACCGAGGAGGTGGAGGTTGCGGTGAGCCGAGATCGCGCCATTGCACTCCAGCCCGGGTAACAAGAGCGAAACTGTCACCAAAAAAAAAAAAAAAAAAAAAAAAAAAATTGCTGACCTCTTATTGTATGCATTTATGTCCATATAATCAAAACCTCATATCAGGCTTAATGGTAAAACACTAAAAGAATTGCCAGGCTGGGTGCAGTGGCTCACACCTGAAATCCCAGCACTTTGGGATTTCAAAGAGGGAAGCTAAAGAGGGAAGATCACTTGCATTCAGAAGTTTGAGACCAGCCTGGGAAACATAGCAAGACCCCCATCTCTACAGAAAATACAAAAATTAGCCAAGCATGGTGGTGAGCACCTGTAGACCCAGCTACGTGTGAAACTCAGGCAGGAGGATCAATTGAGCCCAAGAGGGCACGGCTGCAGTGAGCTGTGATGGTGCCAGCCTGGGCAACAGAGCAAGACCCTGTCTCAAAAAAAAAAAAAAAAGAAAAGAAAGTGTAAACTGTATATGTGCTCTTGATCAAAAGCTAGATGGCCCATTGCCTGAATGAAATAATAATAGGTGTTACTTACTGACAACACATTATGAGCTTTACTAGTTTACTGAGCTGGCATCACAACCCTATGAAGAAGGCATTGTTCTCCCTATTTTACAGATAAGCACACTGAGAGGATTTATGTCTTCCTGCAAACTCCCAGAATAGTCGAGGACAGAAGCAAGATTTGAATCCGGGTCCAGCCCATATTTGCAACCACTTCATTTTACTACTGCCAAGTTTGCTCTTTTTTCTTTGTGTCCTAATAACCAAATGCTCCAAGCACAGGCTGTACTGTCAGCTGAGGCTCTGGAGTCAGGGTGGCATGGAGCGGAGCCTCAGCTCATCTTTAACAGGCATGTCATGTTGACTTCTGATTCACCCCAGTCCTGGGAATGACTTCTGATTCTTACTTTACTTACTGTCCCTAGTGTAAGATCATGTCAACCTTGATGTTATCACACAAATTATAGGCTATGACACAAACAGCGTCCTTGCCTGTTCTGGAGGGTTACCTGCCTTAACCCTTAATTGTCTCGATAAAGCAAATATTCCCCTTCCCTATGTTAGATAAGACTTGGGATTAGGGAGTAACTGTGTGGAGATCGACCTGTCTCGCTGCCAGCCAAGACCAAGCTTCTCTTTGCAAGTTCCCCAAATAAATCACCCCTTACCAACAAACTGGATTTGTCTCCCTCTTTTTTCGTTACTGGCTCCTTCCATATTTGGGGGTTATTTTGCATAAATAGTCCTTCTATGGAACACACGTGGACAAGGAGTAAGCCTTCATTGCTATAAGCCATGACGGTTGAGGAGTGTTTGTTACTAAAGCATAACTAGTCATCCTGGCTGATACAGCTGTCTCCAAAGACCTTGATTATTATCAGAGCTTTGTAAGTGTAAGTGCTTATTAACTCCTGAACAATGTAGCAAGTGCAGCCCAGCATAATAGTTATTCTCATGTGCAGTGTGACACTGTGAAAGTCATTAACCTCTCTGTGGCTCAGTTTCCTCATTGTACATGGGGCAATAATAAGTACCCTCTTCATCGGGTTATGAGATATGAGCAGGCTGATAGAAGTAAAGCCATTAGAACAGCATGTGACGGATAAAAAAACACCATGTAAGTGTTTGCAATTACTAAAAACGCGTTAGGCTGGGTGCGCTGGCTCACCCTGTAATCCCAGCACTTTAGGAGGCTGAGGCAGGCGAATCACTTGAGTTTAAAACCAGCCTGGCCAACATGGTGAAACCGTCTAGTACAAATACAAAAAAGTTACCTGGGCGTGGTGGCAGGGGCCTATAATCTCAGCTACCTTGGGAGGCTGAGGCATGAGAATCACTTGACCCGGGGGGCGGAGGTTGTAGTGAGCCAAGATAGCACCACTGCACCCCAGCCTCGGCAACGGGGCGAGACTCCGTCTCCAAAAAAAAAAAAAAAAAAAAGGATTAATTATTCCCACCTGTGATTTTTATTTGCTCTTTAACTTTTCCCCACTACTGCTTTAGAAAAACACCTACAAACACCTACACCTACTTTTCTTGCAAGAACAAGTTATTACAGCCTCTCCTGCGGTAAACTGTCGCCGATTTCCACCGAGCTGAGCGGGAGCTGACAACTCGCTCTCTCGGGTTCCCACAGGAACATCCTGGTATCTTAGATCCTACAGCGCTATGTGCTAATCGCTGTGTTGTAATTCTTGGTAACTGTCTCTCTCCTCCAGTCTGCGCCCCCGAGAGCTCTCGTCACACTAGAATTTATGCGCGACTTGAGTATCTGTTTATTACGGACTTCTCCCAGGAAATTTCCATGAAGGTGAGGAAGTGTCTGGACCTGCAACATGAAGACGTAAAAACCAACCCGTAACACTGCTCACTACTGCCCAAGCAAAACGCATTCGGGGGCCACCAGTTGGCGACCCTCAAACTGGAGTTTTTCACAGATGCTGTAGTCTGGCTACCAGCTTCAGAGGTGTGCGTGAAGTCAAGCATCTCTGACCCACCTGGAGTAGCCACGTCCCCGGCCAGCACACAGGTGACGGTGACGTTGCGCTCACCAGGAGGAGAGTCGCCATGGCAACCAGCGCTCCGTCGTCCGGCCACGTCCCTGGGACACTGGAGCCGGCTCCCAGCGGAGGCGAGGAATCGAGAAAAAGAGGACGGGAGGGAGCAGTTCTCAGAGACGGAGAGGCCCAGACATTGGAGCCTGGTTCCCGCGGACTTTCGGATACCGTGGGAGGCACCGGGCAGCTTGAGGTAAGGGGCTCGCGCGCCAATGCCGCGTAGGACAGTGCGCCTGCGCAGGCTGACGCCGGAAACTACCATTCCCAGAGTCTTTCCGGTTGCAGCCCCATCAGTTTCAGAAGTTGGGGGCCTATGCTCCACCTCTTCAAAAATCGCTCATTCAAGGGATACCCTACTGCGCATGTGCCAAAGCTGGTATCTTGGCAACGGGTGGGGCTGGAACAAAGACGTCAAGGGTTCGGCCAATCAGAAGTCGCGCTGGGCCGGGCGTGGTGGCTGACGCCTGGAATCCCAGCTCTCTGGGAGGCCGAGGCGGGTCAGGAGTTGGAGACATCCTGGCCAACACGGTGACACCCCGTCTCTACTAAAAATACGAAGATTAGCTGGGCGTGGGGGCGCAGGCCTGTAATCCCAGCTATTTGGGAGGATGAGGCAGGAGAAGCGCTTGAACCCAGGAGGCAGAGGTTGCAGTGAGCTGAGATCACGCCACTGCACTCCAGCCTGGGCGACAGAGCAGGACTCTGTCTCAAAACAAAAACAAGAAAAGTAAAAAGAGAAGAATATCCGAATCTAGTATTCAGGTGCACAGAGGGTGAAGAATTGTAGTTTAGATAGAGAAGAAACCCTGTGCCTTCCGCATTGACCACTGCTCTTCCTCTGTTTAGCCATCCTGGAGGCTTGCACTGACTCATGTCCTTTCGGATGCATTCCTTCCTGGAGGAGAAATGGTTGTCCCTTCAGATGCTTATAATATGTTGTCCGTCCTTTCTGAAGATCCAAGTCACTTCTACCTTGAATTAGGATAATGGCTGTCTACAGATGAGTGGGATCTGGTCCCAGCTTTTGAGGAGCACCCAGTCAGGTAGAGAAACAGAGCTGGACACCAGCTGGGGGGAGGGTACCCAGAAAACGGACAGAGACATTGATGACTGCCATCAATTTTATTAAATGTATTTTCCTTTCTTACAAACCCCAAACCACCGTCCTACTGCAGCAGGAGTTTTCGGTTTTGCCTGTATGTACAAGCCCTGCATGTACAGAGAGAAAAAGCCTGTAGGTTACAATGATAATTTCAGGCTCCTCCAGATCAAGGGACCTATAACTTCCCCACCCCCATAACTTCCCTCCAATCTTTAGCCTGATTTGGCTCATCCAGTGACATCGTGGGTGTCTGGGCAGTATTTTCAGGGTTCTCTGCCAACAGGAGTTGGTGAGGAGAGGGAAGAGAAAAGTTGGGACCAGGGGTGATGGTAAAATGTGGGAACAGAGAGAGTCTAAAAAGACAAGAGGAGACACAGGCAGAAATGGAGAGAGAGAAGGTAGAGACAGAGAGGAAGCAGGGTAGAGTGGGTTTCGCTGTGTCCCCCACACCAAAGATATACCCAAGTCCCAACTCCTAGTACCTGGGAACGTGACCTTAACGGGAAACACGGTCTTTGCAGATGTAATTAAGGTGACATGAGATTTAGGATGGGCCCTACATCTAAAGACAGGTGTCCTTAGAAGAGAAAGGAGAGGGAGATTTGAGATGGACACACAGGAAGCCAAGCCATGTGAAGACAGAGGCAGGGATTAGAAGGAAGTCAAGGAATGCCAAGCACTGCCAGCAGCTGTCAGCAGCTAGGACACAGGCACAGGGTGGTTTCACTCTCAGAGGCTCTGGAAGGAACCAACCCTGGCCACCCCTTGATTTCACACTTCTGTTTTCAGAACCCAGAGAATGCACTGCTTTTGTTTTAAGTCACCCAATTTGTGGTGATGTTACAGCAGCAATAGGAAATGAATACACAGGGAGATAGACAAGTGAGGAGAGAGTGAGAGTTGGAAGAGAGGCTGAGCAAGTGCACGGAGCACTCCCCATGTGCTAAGTGCTATTAAGAGCGTTCACTGGCTGGGCGAGGTGGCTCCCTCGTGTAATCCCAGCACTTTGGGAGGACTAGGCGGGTGGATCACCTGAGGTCAGGAGTTCGAGACCAGCTTGGCCGACATGGCGAAACCCCGTCTCAACTGAAAATACAAAAATTAGCTGGATGTGGTGGTGGGTGCCTGTAGTCCCAGCTACTCAGGAGGCCGAGGCAGGAGAATCGCTTGAACCCGGGAGGCGGAGGTTTCAGTGAGCTGAGATCATGCCACTGCACTCCAGCCTAGTCGAGAGAGGGAGACTCCATCTCAAACAAACAAACAAACAACAACAACAACAACAACAAAAAACAAACATTATGAGGCCACCTTGGATGATATTGGTCTTTCTACGGATGCATCCACAAAATATGACTTTTAGGGGTTTTGGTTTGCTTTTAATGTAAGAAGAGGCCCACAAAGGCAAAGGTGCTGAGGACCCGGGGAAGTTGTAATGTGGCCCAGAGGTGGAGAAAAGGGAAAATGAGAAACAGACAGAAATACAGGTGAGAGAGAGGTATGGGTGGGGCAGGGGGCGGGAGGGAGAAGAGGGAAGAGAGAGACAGAGAGAGAAAAAGAGAGACAGAGACTAAAGTGACTGAAGAGATTTCCAAAGTACACAGTGACCCATCCAGGGAGTCGCCATTTTTGAGGGGCCCAGTGGGTCACATGGAGGACTGAGGAGGGGGCAAGGATGACTCACGAGACCACGATGGCCACGAAGACAAAGACAGCCAGAGACACAGAAATGAGGGTGCCCAACAGAGCTTGGTTCCTCGGGTATTTGCCGTCCGTCTGGTACTGCAGGGCCACGCGGGGTTGCCTGTCAACTGCGGAGGGTGGGGAAACAGCCCCGACCTCCAAGTCACTGCCCCTCCTTAGCCTCAAATCCACCCCACCTGTTCATTCAGCAGCCGGGCGCAGGGGTGGGGGGTGGGGGTGCTCTTTCAATCAGGGATAATTTTGTCCCTTAAGGGACATTTGGAAATGTCTGGAGACATTTTTGATTGTCATAATGGGGAGGGAGATGCTACTGGCCTCTGATGGGTGGAAGCTAGGGATGCTGATAAACAACCTTCAATAACCAGGGCAGCCCCTGAAACAAAGAATGGTCCATCCGGCTCCAAATCCCAACAGTGCTGAGGTTGAGAAACCCAGTCTTCACCCCGGGCACCAGGAAAATGTGGTCTCCATGAGGGCAGGAACTACACCTGTCTCCCCTTCCACCGTTCCTCAGTTTGGGGCATCGTAGGGTGCTCAAAATATTTGTTGTCCCTAAATACCAGCCAAAGGAAGCAAACAGGCATATCCAAAAGTGGGACACTCTCTAGGACACACTCCCCCCACCCCCACTTTTTTTTTTTTTCCAATGCCAATGTCATGGAGGGAAAAAAAAAAAAAAACTTATAAGAGAAACTGTTCTAGGCTGGGTGCGGTGACTCATGCCTGTAATCCCAGCACTTTGGGAGGCCGAGGTGGGCAAGTCACTTGAGCCCAGGAGTTTGAGACTAACATGGCAAGACCCAGTCCTAAAAAGAAACAAAACCAAACAAACAAAATACTGTTCTAGATTTTAAAAAGAAGGAAAACCCTAACAGTTGAATGATATAAGAAGTCCTTTCGGCCGGGCGCGGTGGCTCATGCCTGTAATCCCAGCACTTTGGGAGGCCGAGGCGGGTGGATCACAAGGTCGAGAGATCGAGACCATCCTGGTCAACATGGTGAAACCCCGTCTCTACTAAAAATACAAAAAATTAGCTGGGCATGGTGGCGTGTGCCTATAATCCCAGCTACTCAGGAGGCTGAGGCAGGAGAATTGCCTGAACCCAGGAGGCGGAGGTTGCGGTGAGCCGAGATCGCGCCATTGCACTCCAGCCTGGGTAACAAGAGCGAAACTCCATCTCAAAAAAAAAAAAAAAAAAAAGAAGTCCTTTCATTGGACTCTGCCTGGTTTGAACAAATCAACTGTGAAAAATATTCTGGGGGCAATTGTGGAATTATGGTCCCAATTCCAGTGGGACCTGGAATTATTTGACCTTGTGGAATCGTTGCTAGGTTTGGTGGGCATGGAAACAACATCGTGGCTACTTAGGAAAATGTCATCATTTTTAGAGGTACATGATGTATGGGGCATAGTGTCTGTGTCTGTGATTTCTTTTAAGATACTGTGGCAAAGAATAAAATAGGTAAAGTAAATATGGAAGAATGTTAATCGTTAATATAATTTGGGCTGGGCACAGTGGCTCACACCTATAATCCCAGCACATTGGGAGGCCCAGGTGGGTGAATCACAAGGTCAGGAGTTCAAGACCAGCCTGGCCAAGGTGGTGAAACCCCGTTCTACTAAAAATACAAAATTTAGCTGGGCACGGTGGTGAGCACCTGTAATCCCAGCTACTCGGGAGGCTGAGGCAGGAGAATCGCTTGACTCTGGGAGGTGGAGGTTGCAGTAAACTGAGATAATGCCATTGTGCTCCAACCTGGGTGACAGAGTCAGACTCCATCTCAAAAATGAAAACAAAAACACCCATAATTTGATAGTAAGTGCTACTTTTGAGATTATGATCAGAGAGGCCTGTATGAGGAAGTGACGTTTGAGACCCGAATGAAGTGAGGGAGTGATGGGAACAGTGTGACACAGAGAGGGAACAGCATGTGAAAATATCCAGCATGATTATTCAATCTGGATGGATATATGTGGGTTCATTGTACTATTCTTTCTGCTATGAGAATATATTTTTTTAAGCTGGGCGTGGTGGCTCACGCCTGTAATCCCAGCACTTTGGGAGGCCAAGATCACAAGGTCAGGAATCTAGAGACCAGCCTGGCTGACATAGTGAAACGCCATCTCTACTAAAAATACAAAAATTAGTCAGGTGCAGTGGTGGGCGCCTATAATCTCAGCTACTTGGGAGACTGAGGCAGGAGAATCGCTTGAACCCGGGAGGTGGAGGTTGCAGTGAGCCGAGATTGCGCCACTGCATTCCAGCCTGGGTGAGACTGTCTGAATGAATAAATGAATGAGTGAATTCAGCATGTCCTTCCACATTCCCCGAGTGCAGCAAGGGCTAAGAATAAAATGTTTTTCTAGCATCTGCCATTCTGGTGCTAGGGGCATTCTAAAGTTCCAGAGGTGTCTTTCTATGTAACAGATGGAGGAAAGTGAATTTCAGAATACAGAAGCAACTTCTGGGTCACACTCTACGCAAATGGTAAGGGCAGGATTTGAGGCTGCATGTGGGAGGCTGGAAACCCATATCTAGTGGGTCATGGCTGTCTTAACCACTTGCATGCCTGTCCCGTGTCTTCCCCAACCTCCAGAAGCTTACCAAAGCAGTGCTTTTTGTGGATACACTTGGGACTGATCCTCTGGCAGTGTAAACAGTCCAACACCTCTTCTTTTAGCAAGCCTAGGCGAGGGGAAAGGGAGCAGTAAGGGCAGATATCAGAGGACCAGCAAGGGCGGGAAGGAAGAAGAGAACGAGGAGTTGGGGTCTCTTGGCTCGCCTAAATTTCACACGTCCCACTGCACAGCAGAGGAACTGAGCAAAATGCACAGACAGTTCACTTACAAAATAATTTTTATATAATCATTGAAGAGTTAAATTCAGTTGCAGCCGCTCAGCAGATTAAACATCCTGCTGTGGACATTTAATTAAACATTTTTAAATTCTGAGTTTGCACTTTTCTAATTTGGAGCCTCCTTTGCAGACACCGGTGAGATGTCTCCTCTTTGGGGGTCTGGCCTCCTCCTCCGCTGGCGTACACAAGAGGACTACATTTCCCAGGGTGCCTTTCAGGAAATTGAGACCATGTGACCTAGTCCTGGCCAATGGAAAGTGAGCAGAATCATGTGCCTCCCTTCCAGGCTTGGCTATACATCTCCCAGGGTGATTCCCATTTGCTTTCCCGTTTGAAGCTTACTTAGAAGCTGTCATGTGTGTGCAGCCTGGCTCCCTGAGTCAACACCTGGAAGTGCCACTCAACTTTCAGTGGAATTTGGGTGAGAGAAAAATAAACCTTGGTTATGTTAAACCGCTAAGATGTGAGGGTTTATTTGTTAATACAACGTAGCTTAGCTCACTGTGACTAACATACCTTCGAAACACTGTTTTGCAGGTAGTCCTTACTTTCACAAGCCTTTAAGAAGCAAATCTCCCTAGACCATGGCATTGGGGTGAGGGAACCACCAAATAGAGTAAGGAATGGTAGCAGGACTTGATTTGGGGAGACAGGGTGAAGCAGGTTAGGAGAATAGAGAAGGGAGAGATAGACGGTCCAGAACTCACGGCAAATTTTGGCGTTGCAGGCTGCAAGATAAAAGAGCTGAGGTGAGCTAAATTGGGATGACAACTTGAAAACTTAATTGGGAAGGGATCAGGAGATGGGGTAAGGGGCGAGGCTGGGAAAGGAGAGAAGGGAATATTGGGGAGAGATGAAGAAGGCTGAGTTACAGGAGAGGTGAAAGAGTTCGGGAGAATAAGTGGGAAAAGGGGATCAAGAGGTAAGGGAGAAGGGGATTGGGGATTGGTGAAGAGACATGCTGCACCTTTTAATTCATATGATCTTAAAACTTTCTTGAGTTCCTGGATCGCATTTGCCCTAAGGCTCACCAGCTCTTCCAGCAGAGGCTCATCTGAGGAGAGAAAGAGATCTCTGTGGGGCAGGAGGCACCCAGAAAGCCCACCCGGCTACCTGCAGCTTCCAGGAGAAGAGATGAGGAAATACTCTGCATTTATAAGGGGCAACGAAGACCAGGATGACTAAGGGTCTGCTGGGCAAATCTATGGCCAGGGAGATCCTGCATCTAGCTTCGGATTCAATGTGGGGCCCAGGCAAAACCACCCTTCTTTGGCCTCACTTTCCTCATCTGGTAAGTGGACTTGATCTCTCTCCTCCTCCTTCTCTTCCTCCTCCTCCCCCTCCCCTTCCTTCTTCTCTTCTTCTTCCTCCTCCTCCCCTCCATTTCCTCCTCCTCCTCCTCCTTCTCTTTTCTTCTTTCTTCGACATGCAGTCTCACTCTGTTGCCCATCTCGGCTCACTGCAATCTCTACCTCCCAAGTTCAAGCGATTCTACTGCCTCAGCCTCCTGAGTAGCTGGGATTACAGGCACGTGCCACCACATCCAGCGAATTTTTTGTGTTTTTAGTAAAGACGGGATTTCACCAACTCCTGACCTCAGGAGATCTTCCCACCTCGGCCTCCCAAAGTGCTGGGATTATTGGCATGAGCCACCGTGCCTGGCCTCCTCTTTCTTTTGTGTCGACACTCACTCCATGATTTCAATCCATATGGCTTTATATATTACCTAGACTTGCACTGTCCAGTGTGGTGGCCACTAGCCACACGTGGTTACTGAACAGTTGAAATGGGCTAGTTTGGCCGGGCGCGGTGGCTCAAGCCTGTAATCCCAGCACTTTGGGAGGCCGAGGCGGGTGGATCACGAGGTCGAGAGATCGAGACCATCCTGGTCAACGTGGTGAAACCCCGTCTCTACTAAAAATACAAAAAACTGGCTGGGCATGGTGGCGCGTGCCTGTAATCCCAGCTACTTAGGAGGCTGAGGCAGGAGAATTGCCTGAGCCCAGGAGGCGGAGGTTGCGGTGAGCCGAGATCGTGCCATTGCACTCCAGCCTGGGTAACAAGAGCAAAACTCCATCTCAAAAAAAAAAAAAAGAAATGGGCTAGTCTGAATTGAGATATGCTATAGGTATAAAATGTACACTGGATTTTAAAGACATGCAGAAACCTGTAAAATATCTTGACAATTCCTATGTGGATTGCATATTGAAATGGTGATTTTTATATATTGGCTTAACTAAAATATATTATCAAAATTAATTTCACCTGCTTCTGTTTACCTTTTTAAATATGTGGCTACTAGATTTTTTTTTTTTTTTTTTTTTGAGACAATCTCACTTTTGTCAGCCAGGCTGGAGTGCAATGGCGCCATCTCTGCTCACTGCAACCTCCACCTCCTGGGTTCAAGCAATTCTTCACCTCAGCCTCCTGAGTAGCTGGGATTACAGGTGCCCGCCATCATGCCTAGCTAATTTTTGAATTTTTATTAGAGACAGGGTTTTACCATATTGGACAGGCTAGTCCCAAACTCCTGACCTCAGGTGATCCACCCCGCTCAGCCTCTCAAAGTGCTAGCCTTACAGGAGTGAGCCACCGGTCCCAGCCACTACTAGAAAATTGACAATTACATATGTGACTCCTAGTTGTGGCTGAATTATGTTTCTATTGGATGGCGCTGTTCTCTACACTGATGCCATCCACGTTTATAGCACTAGCCCAGAGGGCTCACTGAAGGTGGGATTTATATATGCAACCATCCAGTCAGGATCTCCACGTGGATGTCTCAGAGGCATCTCAAACCCACTGAGGCCAATACAGAGCCCCCCTTATTCTCCTCCAGACCCACTCCCAACCTCCCAGTCTACTCCATCTTGGTAAATGGATGTGTCATGCTTCTAGCTGATCAATTCCAAATCCTTGGTGCCACCCTTGAAGCCTTTCTTTTCCTTTTCGTTTTGGAACTGGAGTCTCGCTCTGTGGCCCAGTCTGGAATTACAGTGGCGTGATCTCCGTCTACTGCAAACTCAAGCAGTTCTCTGGCCTCAGCCTCCCGAATAGCTGGGACTTGTACAGGCACACGCCACCATGCCCAGCTCATTTTTGTATTTTTAGTAGAGACAGGGTTTCACGACGTTGGCCAGGCTGGTCTCAAATTCCTGACCTTGTGATCCACTGGCTGGCCTCGGCTTCCCAAAGTGCTGGGATGACAGGCGTGAGCCACCGCACCCGGCTGACATCTTTCTTTTTCTTATATCCCAGTGCCATTTGTCAGCATGACTGGCAACAAATCCTGTTTGTTGGCTCAGTATTCAAAGCATCCATTCCCTTCCCTTAACTCCAGAGGAAGTGTCCGCTCCGGCCTCCTTGGATGTGCTGTGAATATGCCATAGTCCTGTCTCCAGGACTCCGCCAGTTGTTCCCTGTGCCTGCGCCCTTCTGCCCCCAGACCCCCTCATGGCTGCCTCCCTTCCCCTTCACATCTTTTCTCACATGCTCCTTTCTCAGGAACATCTTTCTTGGATGCCCTCCGTCAAGCCACAATCCCCACCCCTACTCAGCACTCACTATTCCGTGGTCCCTGCTTTATTTTTATTCTCTGTAGCATTTCCCCCTATTTGACTTATTGTGCAATAAAGGATTAACTGAGCAGGCCTGGGTTGTCCAAACCCTGCACATCCCCCCACCACCAAAATTATATATTTATATATATTTGGCTCTTGCCTGGCTCCTGGAAGGTAACCTCTATGTCCTTGGAATATCCTGACTTAAGGGTTCTTGGTTTGGCTGGGCACGGTGGCTCACACCTGTAATCCCAGCACTTTGCGAGGCCGAGGTGGGAGGATCACCTGAGGTCAGGAGTTCGAGACCAGTCTGGCCAACACGGTGAAACCCTGTCTCTACTAAAAATACAAAAATTAGCTAGGTGTGGTGGTGAGTGCCTGTAATCCCAGCTACTCGGGAGGCTGAGGCAGGAGAATCGCTTGAACCCAGGGGTCAGGGGCTGCAGTGAGTCAAGATCACGTCAGTACACTTCAGCCTGGGTGACAGAGTGAGACTCTGCCCCCCCAAAAAGTATACTGGTTTATGGCCAGGTGCAGTGGCTTACTACGCCTGTAATCCCAGCACTTTGGGAGGTTGAGGCAGGAGGATTTATTGAGGCCAGGAGTTTGAGACCAGCCTGGGCAATATAATGAGACCCTGTCTCTACAAAAAATTAAAAATTAGAAAATTAGCCAGGTGTGGTGGCACACACCTGTGGTCCCAGCTGCTCTGGAGGCTGAGGCCAGAGGATTGCTAGAGACCTGGAGGTTGAGGCTGCAGTGAGCTATGATGGTGCCACTGCACTCCAGCCAGGGCAGCAATGAGACCCCATCTCTTATAATAAAAAGAAAAGAAAAGAAAAGAAAAAGGCCGCATGACATGCATGTTTGTTCTTATTTTTATATTCAAGGGAGGTGGGGCCGAGCAGTGGAAAGGGGAGGGGTGCTGGAGAAGGCGACCCCTCCTCTCTCCTACCTTTCAGAGAGTTACCCATTAAGTCCTGCGTTTGGTTCTTGAGAAAGGACGCCACAGGGTCCAGTTGATTCCTCTCTGGGGGAGAGGAGAGAGGACACTCTGGTGGGTCCCCAGAGAGCCAAGTGACCCCTCTCCCTCCAGGCCCGGGCCCCTCCCCTCTTGGGGGCGTGGTCCCCAGCATCCCTCGCCCACCTCTCCGCCCAACTTCTCCCAGCGCGCACCCACTTTCCCCACAAACACATTCAGCGCGTAGTCCTGGAAGAAAGTCCCTTCCATGCCCAGCAGCACGGCCTCGGCGCGGGCCTGCAGCTGCTCCAACTGGAAGCGACTGGGGATGAGGGCGGAGCGCAGGTGATTCAGGGCCTCCAGCACCGAGGGATCGCACTGCAGGCAGCCCCAGCCTCCGGGGGCGCCCAGGCCCGAGAGCAGCAGCAGGGTCAAGGCCAGAGGCATGGCGGGGGCCCTTGTGACGTCACAGAGGGAGCCCCGCCCCCCAGGCGAAGGCGCAGTCAGGAGGCTCAGGGAGCATCAGGGTGTTACAGGCACGTGTTCACTGAGCACCTGCTATGTGCCAGGTATGGTTCTAGGACCTAGAGAGAAAGAGTCAAGAAAAAACAGAAAGCATCTCCTCTACCCGTCTTGGAACTTACGAATTCCTCTTAAATTTATTTATGCAACGCATATTGGTTTTTTTCTTTGTTTTGAGACAGAGTCTTGCTCTGTCTCCCAGGCTGGAGTGCAGTGGTGTGATCCCGGGTCACTGAAAGCTCTACCGCCCAGGTTCAAGCTATTTTCGTGCCTCAGCCTGCTGAGTAGCTGGGATTACAGGTATGTGCCACCACATCTGGATATTTTTTTTTTTTTTTGAGATGGAGTCTCCCTCTGTCTCACAGGCTGAAGTGTGGTGGTGGGATCTTGGCTCCCTGCAACCTCCACCTCCTGGGTTTAAGCGATTCTTCTACCTAAGCCTCCTGAGTAGCTGGGATTACAGGCACTCACCACCATAGCCAGCTAATTTTTGTATTTTTTGTAGAAATAAGGTTTCATTATATTGATCAGGCTAGTCTGGAGCTCTTAATCTCAACTGATTCACCCACCTCAGCCTCCCAAAGTGCTGAGATTGCAGCCTCTGTGCCCAGCCTACATTCAACAAATATTTATTGAGCACCTACTATGTGTCAGGCGCCAGAGATAGATTGAGATAAGATGAACAGGTTCTCAGCAGGAGCAGGAGGGAGTGGAAGGAAGAGAAATGTGAAACCTGGTACACAGAAGAGTAAATAAAATAGTGACAAACTGCATTACCTGCTGGGAAGCAAATACACAGTGTGATATGGTTACGGTTAAGAGAGTTCCTTGAGGCCAGGAGGTGTGGTCTGCTTCTCTGGTGCCTAGCATGTAGTGAGGAAGGAGACCTAAGCATCTAAGACCACCTTCCCCTTGACTTTCACCTTACATTTCAATAGGAGAAGTAAAGGCTGGCTGACCCAGTGCCACCTTAACCACCCTCCTATAGATAGCAGGCATGGTATGAAGGAATCCTTCTTGAAGACATTGTTTTTATTTAAAGAGGATCAAACCCCCACCGCACGCCTACTTCATGGGTCAAGACCCTTTCACATGTAATTTCCAGAGTTGTAAGCCTTTAGAAGGGCATCGACTTTCTTTGTGAACCCCAGCTTGGCTGTTAAGCAACTAAGCCGCCTTTCTCCCTGCCGAATAAATCACCCCTTCCTTCCCAGTTTGGTGTTCAAGCGGTCTGTTTCTTGCCACCGTTCCTGCTTCGGTACCAGGTACTCAATAAATATTTAGCAAACCAATGAATCCACAAGGGAGGGGGCTGCTGAGGGAAGGACACTGCTTTTCCCTGAAATTTTCATCTTGAAAGTTTTAAAATCTAGAGGATAGGGCCGGGCGCGGTGGCTCAAGCCTGTAATCCCAGCACTTTGGGAGGCCGAGGCGGGTGGATCACGAGGTCAGGAGATCGAGACCATCCTGGTCAACATGGTGAAACCCCATCTCTACTAAAAATACAAAAAATTAGCTGGGCATGGTGGCGCGTGCCTGTAATCCCAGCTACTCAGGAGGCTGAGGCAGGAGAATTGCCTGAACCCAGGGAGGCGGAGGTTGCGGTGAGCCGAGATCAGTGCCATTGCACTCCAGCCTGGGTAACAAGAGCGAAACTCCGTCTCAAAAAAAAAAAAAAAAAAAAAAAAAAAAAAAAAAAATCTAGAGGATACTTGCAAGAATGACACAATAAACACTCAGATATGACTTAACATTTTGTATTCGCTGTATCTCTCTCTCTATGTAGGTGAATTAAATATCAATTTAATCGTATTCAATTAAGAGAGCTTATAAAAGCATATAGAGCGCTATAGCAAACGTTACACTAATATATGATATATTAATATAAAGAGTAAATATTAATTCATAGAGATTAAATTAATTAAGACGAAATATTAGTACATGGAGGGAGAGAGGATGAGAGAAGGAGAGGGGGGTGTAAGGTCTTTTAGGCTGACTGACGATGCCATGGACACCTGTTAACCTCTGTGACCTGCATGGACACTCCAGATGAGTTTCTGGAAAATCTGAAGTGACTGAAAGACCATGAAAAGGGGAAGAAATGATCCACCCCTGCGGGGCCTACTGAACTTCCAGAAATTCTCTATTGTTCCTTATTCCAACCCCAACTGATAAGGCTGTTGGACTTTGGAGCTGACCTTTGTCAACCTTGTGACTCCAGACCCTACGGCCCCCTCCCAGTTTGCAAAAAAACTGCCCTCAACCATAACTTCTGTAACTTTCCACTGCCTACTGCAAACCGACAAAACCAACTCCTATCCCACTGCCTTCCGCTGACTCTCTTTTTGGACTCAGCCCTCCCGCACCTGGGTGAATAAACAGCCGTGTTGCTCACAGGAAGCCTGTCTTGGGTCAGGGAGGGGGGGGCGGGGTCTCCTCATTCAGAGCCTGTGTGTTAACAGGGAGTTGTCTTATTAATGGTTTAGGTGCTATAACAAAACACCATAGACTGGGTGGCTTATAAACAACAGAATTTATTTCATGCAGTTCTGGAGGCTGGAAATGCCAGGTCAGAGCACCAACAAAGTTGGGGTCTGGCGGATCTCTCTTCTTGTATTCTCACATGGCAGAAAGAGGGTGAGAGAACTCTCTGGGTTCCCCTTTTTCCTTTTTAATTTTTGAGGTGGAGTCTTGCTCTTGTCACCCAGGCTGCAGTGCAGTGGCGCGATCTTGGTTCACCGTAGCCTCCACTTCCCTGGTTCAAGCGATTCTCTTGCTTCAGCCTCCCGAGTAGCTGGGATTACAGGTGCACACAACCACGCATGGCTAATTTTTGTATTTTTAGTAGAGATAGGGTTTCACGATGTTGGCCAGGCTGGTCTCGATCTCCTGACTAGCAGGAAATTAGGGATCTGGAGAGAATGATGGAGTTGCAGGAGGATTTTATTTAATGCGATTACTGGCTCAGTGGAATTGCTCCCTCATTCTAAGCATAGGACAAAGAAAACGGGTTGCTTTTTATGCACCTGGGAGGTACAGGATGATGAAGCAGGAAGCCAGTTTACAGAAGCCAGAATGAAGAGCAGTTAATTAACCTGTAACATGTCTTGTAATGTACTTTACATTTGAAAAGTAACATCTTGAGAAACACGTTTGGCAGTTTCTATCTGCCCTGTGACCTTGCAGCTTGTCAGTAGGAAAAACAGGAATTTTTAGATGGTCAGGAACTTTGCTAAAAATGTGGGGAGGGTAGAGAAGGGATAAATGTTTTGCAGGAAGGCAGTTTAATATTCTGCCTTCAACAGAGCTGGGGAGGTATTATATCACACAGCACACAACACAGCAAAATTTGCTTTTCTATAGCAACTCCAAATTTTAAGGTTTTGTTTTGCTATTATTTCCATTATTTAATTTACTTCTTCACTGACCTCAAGCGATCCTCTCGCCTCAGCCTCCCAAAGTGCTGGGATTACAAAGCGTAGGATTACGGTCAGGCGCGGAGGCTTACACCCGTAATCCCAGTACTTTGGGAGGCTGAGGTGGGTGGATCACGAGGTCAGGAGTTTGAGACCAGCCTGGCCAATGTGGTGAAATCCCGTCTCTACTAAAAATACAAAAATGAACTGGGTGTGGTGGTGCGTGCCTGTAGTCCCAGCTGCTTGGGAGGCTGAGGCAGGAGAATTGCTTGAACCCAGGAGGTGAAGGTTGCTGTGAGCCGAGATTGAGCCATTGCACTCCAGCCTGGGAGACAGACCTAGACTCCATCTCAAAAAAAAAAAAACAAAGTGTGGGATTAGACCACAAGGAGGTGCTCACACCCAAGCGAAATTCTCTCTGCGCCCCGACTGAGAGTCAGGGCCTTGCCACGCCTACATTCCTTAGGATCATCCAGTTGTCAACCCGGTGCTGTGGGGACCATAATTTGAGAAATGAACCTGAGATACTAACTTGTGCCTCCTTTTCCCCACTCCTATTGCCATCTGCCTTTCAGTCAGGGAGTCAAGGGGCTGTCGTTTGCCCTAAGAAGGGGCGGGTGGAATGGGATGGGGAGGCCGCTCATTCCAAGCCCCAAACCCCCAGGTCCGGGTGTGAGGCAGGAAGGCTTAGGATGCAGAACCGGTTTTGCTTCTCGGGCACAGCCATCCTAATTTGGTAAGACGTAAGTTAAATGAACTGTCATCAGATTTCACACCCCAGCAAAAGTGGCCGAGGACGTTCCCACGCGCATCCTCCAGGCGCACAGATGTCCATCACGGTGTCGTGGGAGGCAAAGGCAAGCTGGGTGTTCTCACCAGGGTGGCGGGTCGCTGATGACAGGACACCCTGCAGCAGCTGGAAGAACGGACGAGCCTGTCCACACCGTGACAGGAATGAATCCAAGTGAAAACAGCAAAAAGCCAAACAAAGCAAACAAACAAACAAAAAAACCCACAGTCAAAGGGCCCAGCCCTGCAGGGTCCTGTGAGCCCCTCTCTGCTGGTACGGAGGTGAGAAACTGTGGCGATACAAGAGGCAGACACAGAGACAGAGAAAAGAGAGTGTGGGCTCAGGGGTCCACGGCCAACCACAGCGTGGACACCTGCAGTGGCCTCGAGTGCCCGGCCGCTCTTTTATTGAGTAGGAAGCAGGGGGCAGGGAAGGTAGGGTGAGGTCATGGTGGTCAGTGTCAGGGTCAGGGAAATCATGTGGGCCCAGGACTTTCAAGTGGCTGAGATGAGGAGAAAACCTGATGCGTCAGTGTTCTTCACGTATTTGTTAGAAATGTCAAGGACATTTACGATAATTAATTCTTACCTTTTTTTTTTTTTTTTTTTTTTTTGAGACAGAGTTTCGCTCTCGTTACCCAGGCTGGAGTGCAATGGCGCGATCTCGGCTCACCGCAACCTCCGCTTCCTGGGCTCAGGCAATTCTCCTGCCTCAGCCTCCTGAGTAGCTGGGATTACAGGCACGCGCCACCATGCCCAGCTAATTTTTTGTATTTTTAGTAGAGACGGGGT